TCTCTGACATGTCTCTCACCTGATTCTTCATATGAACCGCTCATACAAGCAAGGTCATATACTCATACATACCATTTCTCTAAGTTTTTTATATTCTTCATAGCTTACACGTCAATGTTTTAAGCAAATCAGAACCTGAATCATTGGAAATAAAAAAGTTCAATTTTTTGTTGAGATCCATTATTTTCCTCTGAAGTCTTTCTGTACATACCACTTGATGTGATCATTAAACAGCCTGCTGTGTTTAATGCAAAAGTCTTCTGAAGTTATAGAGACTGAGATTGTACATTGCCAGTTTTTACAAATACCTCACAACAGCAAAAATGTGGATATATATAGTTGTATATGATCAATGTATACAGGATCCTGCATCACGTGTGACCGGTGAGACTCAGAGATCCCAGTGAGCATTTGGCAGCCTCGAAGCAATTTACTTGGCGGAGAAGAGACTGAACCCCGTCAACCCATCTCTGCTTGTGAACTTTGCTCTTGCACTTGAACTCCAAAAGACCTTGTCCGGTTTTCAGGCCGAAGTAGACTTCTTCTGAATTTTCCCTCTCTTTCCTGTAAGGCCAAGCTGATTTCTCATCGCAGACTCCATAGACGACGCCTGGAAAGAGGAACAATAGGTTCAGAATGCCTGTCTTTCAGGTAATATATATATAAAGTGAATGATTAGGAAATGCTTACATTTTATCTTCTTGGAGAATGCCCCTCCGACATGTTTGCTTTTGAGTTTGATCATTACCTGCAAAATCGTAAGTAGCGTAATAAGCATGGGATCAAAAGCAAACGAAAATGTGTGTGGTGCAGATGCTAATCAAGTCACCTGAGATTTCTTGTTGATATAGACACAGACACGCTTAGTTCGCTGCACTCCTGCAAGTTCAAGCATAAGAAAGAAAATTTAATGTCTCTGTCTAATCTCAGTGAACTCTTCGATTGATCAAAGTCTCACAGACAGAAAAGGAATTACCATTTCGGGAGCATTGCATCAGTTCGCCTTCTAATGGAAGATTTGGTTCTTCCAATCTAAACTGAAAGTTTGCAGGCCAGTGAGAGTCAGAGAAGCTTCTCTCGAATGGTGTAATAGCTGCGTTCTTCCTTGCTTCCTTAGGCTGCCTCGCCTTCAGTGCCGCTTCTGCTCTCAAAGCTAGTTCCAGTTTTAACGAAATCAGATCAAATATATACCCACGAAGCCAAAAAAAAGCCTTGTAAAGTTACATCAAATCCCAGGCTAGTTTCGAACAATATTGCCTTACCCGTTGCAGCAGCGGCTGTTAGAGTCATGAGATCACCGGGGCTGTGGATATCCACAGATGACCTAACTGTGGAAGCAACACGTGCACGGTCAGCACCGGCTCGCTCAGCCATCTCGACACAGTGTGAGGCCAACAGTTCAGTGGCTGAGGCTAAAGCCAGAGCCATCTTGGAGCCTGGCCCTTGGGAGTTGCTTGCAGAGGTCACAGAGGCCAAACCTGCAGCCAGGGCCGCTACAGAGACGGCAGAATGCAGGTGGGCGTTCTCAACACGCGCCTTGTCTTTCTTGTTGAGACCGG